TTTCTCCATGTGAAACTGCTAAAAAGCATCTATTCTAGCCCTGTTCCTTAACTCTCATGGGCCAGTCTTCCGAATTTAAGGCAGCCAACTCCAAAGCATTTTGTTTAAAAAAATGTAAACAATATCATATAAGCAAGATTTCTGTACTTCTGAATAATCAGCATGGCTTTTTTTTAACAACAGTTCAATACACATTTAGTTAATATTGGTAACTTACATTTTGGGTACTGTTACTGGCTACTTTGTCTATTTTTGCTCCACCAAAGAAAACGGATTGAAACAAAACCGCAGCAGAGCGTGTCAGTGCTACGAATCGGTTGAATCAATGATTTAATAACTCACTCATAAAGATTGAATGAACTGTGTTTTGACTCACTCATAAAGTCACTCGCCGCCACCTTCTGGCGTAGCTTGCGTAGCAAGCTATTGACTAGCTTGTAACATTATAAAATGTTATACAGCCAAATTTCTTGAACACATCAACCTCTTTGATCATATTCCGAATTAGGAAACAACTACAATGCAGTCAAAGATAAATTATGAGAAACAAAAATAATTAGTTTACCTCCCGAGTCTTTTGCTTGTTTGTCAAGAGAAAGACTCGTCATCAAAGACTGACAATAATCTTTTTCAGTTGCAATTTTCTATAAGTGGTCCATCGACTGTGCTTTACTGCACTGTAAGAAAAGTTCATCATACCTCTTTTTGCAAATACTAGTAATCTCTAAATCCTGACAAGACTTAATTTTTTGTGCCACTTTTGTTGCACCAGATCCATCATTATCTCCATTCTGAATAACAACTGCGGTTGCGATACTGTTAATTGTATTATGTAGCACACACTGAACAAACTCTGATGCATTCCACATATATTAGTCATATTACATGAGAGCTGGGCTGTTTGGAGTAGAGCGTGAGACAACATGTTTGGCTGTCGAGCCCTGTTGTGGATAGGAGTGCTGGTGTAATTAGTGCTTGGTGATATAATAGTACACAGTCACACCCCCAGCTCCTCACAAAGCCTTTCAGAGCGAGAACAAGCGGAGCACTGGCAATACGACATTGAGGTCTCAGCCTGGCCAAAGAGCCTGGACGCCCCATGACGGCTGGCCATTTACCAGCGGCCCAAATGAACCCACAAGTGGCTCCCAGCTGTAGCGGGGCCTAAAAAGAGGTGCTGTGCTTAGCTTGCTTCAGCCCACTTGCTTGTCGGAGAACATGTGTGAGGTACGAGGGAACAGGTTTGTCTTTGATGAGAAAGTTTGTTTTTGGTTCTCAGTGAGGAGAGAGGTGGCGTAGTCTGGCCGCTGACGTAGCCTGTGGGGCAGCCGAGACCGTGTGGGGGGTACAGATCGCCAAGCAGCTGGGAGCTCCAGTGCTGGGATGACTGCCTGTGGATTTAGCTCTCTGTGGACATGTCTAGATACTGTGTCTTTATTTCCAATGGCCAACCCGCTGGACAAGAGGCCTGTACTGTGTGTGCTCTCTGAAATGAATGCTGCTCTGTTAGAACTTTTCCAAAGCCGTGCCAACTGTCCTCTGCCTGTCTGATGTCTGTAAAGCTGACCTAAAACACGTAGTTTAATGTACCAATTAGGGGCGTGATGACATTTCGAAAATGGATTTGGTAAATGAGATGCAACAGTTTTTACTAAGTATTTAAACATCATCGCATAATTCAGTTTGGTTTATATAAATGTTCCTATGTTATGACCTATATGGGGGTGGCATTATTCATGGACATGCTTCTTCAAGTACCTACAACTTCTAATAAGGGTACATTTTTCAAGACTATGTTTCTTTGACAAACAATAATTTGTTTTTGATTCACCAAAAAAAACGGCTAATAAGAGTCATTTGATACGAATCGGAATACTCAGGTCGCGCTGTATGTTTTTGATTAACTAAAAAGAACCAGCTCACTCATAAGAATCGTTCGTTCTTTGAGGAGGAAATCGGGCTACAGATGTCGCTGTATGTTTTTGATTAACTAAAAAGAACCAGCTCACTCATAAGAATCGTTCGTTCTTTGGGGAGGAAATCGGGCTACAGATGTCGCTGTATGTTTTTGAATCATTAAAAAGAACCGACTCATAAGAGTCATTTGATTGAATAGAGTCATTTGAATTGGACAATTGCTCGCGATGTCCTGCATAGTTTGGAGAACGGATGGTTGCGCCGTATGCTTTCTTCAGTAAAAATAACCAGCTCATAAGAGTCATTTGTTCCTCATAAGAGGAAACAAACAAATGAAGATTGCACGCGATCAATCGGAAAATGTATATTTTCTCCACAACTAGGCCTAACTGAAAGCCCATATAATCTGTTCCCAATCATGAATCACGCCAATATAACCTGTTATAATAAAATAACACCCGTTTTAGTGCCGTTGAAGATCCATCCCCAATGACCACTCAATGAATCACATAAGGAAAGTCCAGGCTTTTAAGGCCCACAACCTGATTAAGTCCACAAAGTGGGCCCATGGTTGGGGTTAGACAAAATAAGTGTCAAGAGTGTGCTGCTAATTATGCCTTGATTATTACCTGGACTGACAGCAAGTGAATGGGTGGAGAGGGGGTGGGTCCGGAACATTCAGTCAAGCAGAAAGTTCCCAAATGCTGAGGCTAACATAGGTCAAGTGATTTGGCGCCTCGGGTGTATTAAAGCTATTTACAAGAGGTAGAGGGATTTATGGTGCTTTTGCACAGTCTGTTCTTTTATATGACCTGGCACTAGGTGGTCATGCTTTCTGACCTACTCAATCATTATTTCGACCCAATAAAAATCTTTCTTTTCATATGTATTTAGGCTGTGTTTTAGAAGCTAGAAGTGTTCTACAGAAGTGCTAGAAGTACTGCTCTGCAGGCAATGACATCGCAGTCAGACTGTGCTTCTGCCATAATGACCCTATAAATGACACAAGAGCACAACTATGTTTTTGTATATTTACAGTTGTCATTCAGTGGGGTCAACAAGTTATTGAAAATCAAACAAAAAAGTGTTATGATAAAGAAATGTTTAAGTTCTGCCCTAATCAAATAAGTACATTTGTGACACTGGTCATGTGACTCTTTGCACAGATGTTCCTGACTAAGAACATGATCATTAGTTTTTACACAAAATTGTGGAGTTCATGCAACTCGAATGCTGCATTAAAGCAAAAGAGAGACAAACCAAATATTAAGACATTCTGATTTTTTAAAATCAGTTTTAATGCTTATAATATGTCATTAAAAAAAAAAAAAAAAAAAAGAAGAAGAAGCAAAATTGATGCATTTTTCACTAGTCATCTTTTGGACCTCACTGCCGATCATCATACTGTATATCGTTTATATTGCAACAAATCTAATTGAATGGAATGGGAGCCACTGATTGCAAAGTCAGGTAATCTAGGAACTCATTTTTGCAGCTTGCTTATACTGCCATCTAGTGCACATAAATGATAAGACGGGAAGAACCTGTGTAGAAACAAATTTGCAACTGAGAATGACTTTTGTGTGTTCTTTTAGCTAATCATTGTATATTTTACTGTAGATTATTTCCATAAACAATAGGCTGTCAATATCCACAGCAGTTGTGTAAAAAAATTATATTGTTTTAAAATATACTGACTTATATTTAGCCTCACAAACACTACATGACACTACATACAGTGGCATAAAACCAGTCAGACTGCTCAACAGGGTTCATGGCCCCAGTCAGTAAGCAACTGAATGTGTTGCCATGACGACACCAGTTGCACGAGCGAGCCAGAAAAATAGTAAGAAAATCAGAAAGACAGAAAAAGGTTAAATCCCAGCGTTTCAGTGAATCATTGTAGCCCTGTTGCATGTGCTACGTGGTATGGTCATATATTGAACTTATATGAAATTACACTGAAAAAAAAAACATTTACACAATGTTAGAGCAGTTAGTTGAACTAAAAAATAATAAATTCTGATCACTGCATACTTGTTTCTCTGTAGGCCTAGATCCTCTTTATTCAGGTTCTTGCACTTTATGTTAGATTTCTTCAGTGACGTATAATATAGAATGTAATGACAAGAGTGTTTAATTCTGACATTTTGTTCCTGGATATTTGGTATTGAGCTCAGGCTGCGTGAATTCTTGATAGAGCTCATCTGCCTGTCAAAACAAAAGGTCAGTTTCTTCAGTCACTTAACCTGGAGAGCAAATCGACAGGCACAGACACAAAAGGTTAAACCTCTGAGAATGAAGAAAAAAAAAGTAACATTCAGTACAAAGTATTAAAAAAATTCAGTGTTGACCCAGTCAAACCACACATTCTTTCTTAACAACAGTCTTCAGTTCTCAGAGCTTTTCCTTTGAGAATTGAGGAAAATTTTCTTTGTTGGTCCTGAAAAGAGATTTATTCATAATAATCAAAAACTGCAATACGTGACTGATTTTCTCTTTGCATAATTCAGTTTGGCATTCAAGGAATCTTCAATTGCATTTTACTTTAAATGGACTGTGTGCCCTTTCAGTGGTATTTGCATGACTATGATGATGTCTACTAAATTTAGATATAGGTTTGTTGCTTAAATCAGAAAACATTTGTTTTATCCTATTTAACTATTTTAACCACTGTTGTACCAATTTGTTGAATAAAGTTGCCAGTATGATATAATTTGTGCATATGTAGCCAACAGTCTGTAGACTCTCAAATTTTAACATTCATGAAAAATTTCCATTGCACAAAATGTTCTTCGTAGTGGAAAAAAGAACCCAAAATGGTTATTTTATTTCATTGCTGTGAAACCTTAATTTTTAAGAGTGTACTTTAAATATAAAACGGCAGAAATTGGAAATAATACATTATATAATTAGTACTATTTTTACTGTTTTTCACTGACTTCATCTTTCAAGCGCACTCTCTTTGAGGACAGAGAGAGGCCAGAGATACATGGCTCCTCCCTCAGTTTTAGTAAAAACATTCCAGTCAAGTGAGAGAGCCAGCGAATTTGAAACCCTGGAAGTCCGTGTTTTCAGGTCCTTCTCCTTGTGAGCACTCACACACTCACTGGAGGACAAGGACAGCCCATAAGCAGCTGCAGCACATCAGCCTCACAGAGTTTGGAGTGTTCTTTTGTTTTGTTGTTACCTGAAAGTGGCCCTTATCCAAAACCACCATGAAAGCCACCATATTCTTCATTGTCTTGACTGCTGTGGCTCGTTCAAGAGGCCAGTACCACTATCAGGGTCTAATGAACTACTTGGAAAACAGGATGCTCGCTATGGAGGTAAGAGAAATCTGGCTTGTCTGGCTGCATTTCAATACAGTTTGTGCTAGTTTTCAGCCATTTTAAAGAGACATCCACTTTTCCAGACATACATCAAAACTGAGATAAAACAGTGTTATTATGACAATTTAGAGAGTTCACTACATTTATTCCACTCAAAAACTCTTGAAAATGTAAAATCTGTAACAGTGATAGTGCAGAGTGAGGGTACAGACACCCTGAAGTAGCTCATGTCCCTCAGACATATCGTCCCAACACAGCAGTGACTTCTCAGACCAAAGATCCATGAAGAAGTGGAGATTAAAAAGTGTTTATCCAAGCCAGTGCTGTCGATTTCCCATAGTCTTTTTTTTGTATACTGTCTGGAGTAAAGTTGTACCCCCAGAGCAGAGAAACATCAATTGACAGAATAGTTTAGCTCAGCAGTTTTGTTCTCAGTGAAGCTGAGCTGAAAAATTCTAACACCGATTCAATAACCAAAATAATTACTCGCGATTAAGTAGACACTTCATTAGAATAATGAATTTATTCAGTCAATTTACATATATCATATGCAGACAGGTCTGTCTTGATTACCTGAATCAGCAGGAGTCCATTCTATATTAAACAGTGTTTTTCATAAAATGAAATGAATGTAAGGTTGAGTACAACAGGATTAAAAGCTCCTCGTAAGGAAAAAGTGTTTTTGTAGTTTTTTTTCTGGCCCAAAAGTATATGATGACTGAAAATTTTTTTTAATGAATATTTATGAAGCAACAAAATTTATGCAAAACAAAGTTTGTTTTGATTCAAAATCATGTCATATTAAATTCAGCTAGAGCAGCTAGCCTGGAGCAAAAGAGCCCTGGGTGGCCACAGTGATATGCTTTACATATTTAATGGCAATAGGCACCATATTCACATACTTTTATTATAGTAATATATTTTTGTGAAGTGTATGAGCATATATTTGTTTTGTAGCCCCTGCAACAAGAGGGGTTTGTACCTCAAATCTTTTAACCTCTTTGACAGCTGCTGAAAACAACTTCTTGATTTAAGCACTTTGAAGAAAAATGAATCTTAAACTACTGTTTAAAAGTTTGGGGTCAGTAAGGTTTTCTTTTTTTTTTTTTTAAATATACTTTTATTCAGCAAGGGTGCATTAAATTAATCAAAGTAAAGACATTTATAATGTTACAAAATAAATAAAAAATTTTAAATAAATACTGTTCTTTTGAACTTTATTCGTTAAAAATCCTCAAAAAAGTATAATGGTTTCCACAAAACCATTAAGTAGTGCAAAACAATTTCAACATTGATAGTAAGAAATGATTCTTGAGTATCAAATCAGCACATTAGAAATTATTTCTGATGTATGATGTGACACTGAAGACTGGAGTGACATCTGCTGAAAATTCAGCTTTGCCATCATAAGAACTTTAAAATATAGTAAAATAGAAAACAGTTTTAAATTGTAATAATATTTCACTATATATCTGTATTTTAAAACTATGATCTTTTGTCAAAGATCCATTGTACCCTATTATTAAAGTTTATTTTATCATTAAAATATAATATAGAATTAAGTCATAGAATTAAGTCACTGAAGCTGTAACTGTCGCAAATGAATGATTTTTTTTTTGTTATTATAAATGATATGTGGAACTGGGGGTCTCAAAATTCTTTGACTCTTTCAACTCAGCAGAAAAAAGTGAATTTCTAAATTGTAGAGGCAATGTTTTTTTTTCCAGATTTGTTCAAAATGATGTATTGTACTTTAATGAGTTCCCTCAAGTCCTTTCAAAAATACTCTCAAGACATTACTCAGGTTCTCCATCTCCTGGCTCCAGATAACGATTGCAGTGAACCTTTCAAATAACAAATGAGCTTTTTACTCTACAGTTTCCTTGACTGGGCAAAAGGGCCTAACACATCCTGTCTAGAATTATTCAACACTTCTGCACCATTATTACCAGCAGCCCTTTAATAATCCACAGAAAAATCGTCATTGGAATAAGTTTCTCATTGGAAAGAATTTGCTGCACTCTGCGATCATCTTAAACATTTGCGCGACTCATTGGTGTGTTTGTCATTCTTCCAGGAACGCATTGCATTGTGGCATGAACAGAATAACCGCTACAACTCCGACCTAAAGGAATTCAGGCAGCAGGCTGCAGACCTGTTGGAGAAGTTGGGCAAGGAGCATGATAAACTGCGTTCAGACATGGAGGGCGCAGGAGCACGGGCAGACCGCGTGGAGCGTGAGATGGACTACATTGAAACCAAGAATCCCCCTAACCCTTGTGTGAAAGCAGCAGACAAAATGGTGGAACAGGACGTGGTTGTCAAAGAGAGGAAGAAGGAAGAGTTCTTTGAGTTGTCTGGTGAGTCGGGGGAATTGAGTTTTGACAGCTGAAGCTCAACTTTTGATCATGTACTTTCAGCTTTAGCCTTGACATAGTCTTGGTTGAGGGAGACTAGGTACATTTTGCATACTATTACACATGAGACCAGTTTGGGAGAAAGGTTTGGAGTTTTCTCTGGAAAATTGAAACACTGGAAAATCAAACTGAGAGAAGTAATAGCTGCAATGCAAGAGCATGTGCTTTGATTTAAGACATTTCTTTGTTTTTGAGGACTAGCATCCCAGTTACACTCACCCATATTGGGATTATGCTGCAGGCAGTGTGACCGTCTTTGCTTTGATGGTAGAAACCCTGGTTTCTGCTTAATTAGTTAATTAGTTAATTTGGCTTTTGTGGTTTAGATGTTACGCAACTGTTGAGTTGTGGCCTATTTTGTTATCCAGTATGTTGGAATCAAAGCAGATGAATGTACAGTAGATGTGTTTCATTTGGCTCTTCATCTGTCTCCACTGAAGTACCATGTTGTTAACACTATGGAGAGTCCAGTAAATGCCATACAGGAAGACACTGTATTTATCCAACGTTGTTGTTTAACAAAAAACTAAGCACTAAAATTTTTTTCCAAGGCTGAATCCACTTTAAAACTGAAAGCTGAATCCAAAATTCCAATCCATTTAATTTCTTTCTTTCTTTGGCAACAAAAGATACCATACAATACCGTTCAAAAGTTACAGTCAGCAAGATTTTTTAGTATTTTTGAAAAAAAAATTAAAACCTTTTGCTCACCAAGGCTGCCTGTATTTGATAATAAAATACAGTAAAACAGTAATATTGTGAAATATTATTACAATTTATAATATTAATGATAAATTCTTAAAAATTTAAATAATAATATAATATATAGTTATTTATTCCTGTCATGGCAAAGCTAAGTTTTCAGCAGCAGCATTACTCCAGTGTTACACGATCCTTCAGAAATCATTAATAATTCTGATTTGGTTCTCAATAAACATTTTAATATCATCTATGTTGAAAACAGTTGCTCAATATTTGGTGGAAACCATGATACTTTTTTTCCAGGATTGTTGGATGAAAAGTATAAAAACAGCATTTATTTGAATTTTTGCTGAACAAAAGTATTATATTCGTTTAAATAAATAAATAGATAGATAGATTACTGACTCCAAACTTTTTAACAGTAGTGTATATCATATCAAAAACTTTTTGTACCAAAGATAAGCACTGGCAAGGGAATCAAAAAAAAAAAAAAAAAAAAGGGGGAAGGAAAAATAGCAGCCAGCAAAATGCTGCTGTTAGGTGGTTTAAA